ACACCCCCCCCCCAGAACCCCACCCCTCCCAGTAACTGCTGTTAGGGCCCTGAACGCTGTCTGTTCTTGTTTTTTTGCTATTTAAATGACATTTAAATGAAGCCCGTGACTATGATGATGATGATGATGATGATGATGGGTTTTAACTGGTTACATTTGCGTCTGGTGATGAAGATCAGGGCCTGATCACTGTTTACACAGACATTAAAGATGAGAGGCAGAGATAATAATAATGCCCCCTGCAGGGCGGATGTAGCGAGGGACAGTGACATCACGAGATCCTCAGGAGGATTCACGATCCTGTCGCGGTCGTGTCGCACGTCTGCCGTCAGAGAGACTTTAGAAAAGTGTGGAAAAAACAACATCAAAGACTTCAGTCACGTGCTAACGACCTCTGACCTCCCACCGTTCTCCAAACACCCCCGACCTGATCGACTCCTCCTGATGGCGTTTACGGACGTTAACGAGCAAAATCCACAATTTTAAAAAACACCATGTAAAATTCATAAGGAAAGAACATCAGTTACTACTGGAGATCGAACCACTGATCTTTCTGCTGTAAGGTAAAAGCGCTAACCACTCTTCCACCGTGTGGTCCTGTATAACAGAACATATTGGTGGTGGTGGTGGTCATGGTGGTTTGAGGCCGCAGACACAGAGCACTCCGGCTGTGGAATCCTCTGCTGTGGTTGCGGTGAATGACAGTGAAAGTGAATCGTTGGTCAGTTTGTTGACGCAGCCGTGTTAAATCAAGAAGAAGAAGAAGAAGAACGTGTTTTTGTTGGTCGTTGTCCATGAAACAAGAGCAGAGACCCTCAGGAACAGTGTACTGTTGATCAGGGAGCGGCAGCCGGGAGCAGGATTTGAACCGGCAACCCTCTGCTCACACAAAATACTCTTTTCAATAGCTGGTGGAACATACTGTATGTGTGAAATGAAACTAATGTTCAGTTAGAATAAATGTGTTGTTTGACTTCAGGGAACAAAGGAAAAAACTGTGTCACTCAGCCTGAGGCTCCAGCTCTACTCACCCGTCTCCCTCCCTCTCTCCCTCCCCCTCAGATCATGGCCGACTCCTCTTCCTGCTCCAGCCGCTCCACCTTTGCAGTCATGGTGGGCTTGTCCCAGATCCTGGGCCTGGGCTCGGTGGTCCTGATCGGGGTGTGGATGGGTCACTATCACGGGGGTTTTGCTTGGGACGGATCAGCGTACCAGTTCAACGTTCACCCTCTGTGCATGGTCCTGGGGCTGGTGTTCCTGCAGGGGGACGGTAAGTCCACCGTCAGGGTCTCAGCGGCGCCGTGACTCGGTACCACCTGAGAAGGTGCTGGGTTTGAGTCCAGTTTGTGACTTGTACCCAGGTGCGACTTAAATATATTAAAACGTAGAATTTCACATGTTCGTTATTGTCACACTGACAGCCTCTAGAGGGCACTGGTGCGACTTATGCTCCGGAAAATACGGTACTACATTTCTCTACTAGTTTTATCTGTGATGGTTTAAAAGTTTCTCTGAAATCCTGCCACGAAACTCAGTTTGACTCATTTATTTTACAGTATCTGATGATCATTAAAGTGAAGCCCTGTAGTAGTACTACTTAGTACCACTTAGTACTGCTGACACAGAAACACCCCTGTGTATATGAGCAACGGCAGCCGAAGCTGAAGAGTGAACAACAACAACGACCCCCCCCTTGTCCCCCCTTCTCGCCCTCGCATCACCTCCCTTCACAAATATATACACTGCTGTTGTAAACAAGACAAAGGAAACAGAATTTGAATTTTCGTGAGTGTAAAACGGTTCAGTCACACAAACTGTTTGACCAGAATAAACATGGTGACAGGTTATGTCAAACAAAATTTACATCTAATTGTTCACCTGTGGTTAGCACACATGTCATAGCAGAGTGTCCGGGGTTCGATTCCCTAGAAGGCACATATCCCTAATAGCGCCTCCTGTGGCAGTCTGTCTGGGTCGTACATTGGGACTGATACTTGTTATTATTATTATTATTAATAACCATCCAGTCGTTGGTATTTATTCAATCACTCTGCATTTTTTTTATATATATATTTTTTTAAATTCCACTTTTTCTTCTTCAAAATGTTTTCCTGCTCCGTCTGTCGTTCCGTCACCGTGATGAGAAACAGTTGTTGCCCGGAGCTCCTGCTGCATCTCTGCTGATGAGAGTAACTGGATTAGCTGAACTGGTTGAACAGGACGGCGTCTGTTCCTTCACTTTATTACATCAGTGCAACAACAGAAAAGGTCACATGGGAATTCAATTAGAGGGAAAATCGGCTGGAAACACTCGGAGGGAGAGTCGACACCTCCGTCAGCCGTTAGTTAATCTGTCTCCTCAGGACACGCCCTCTAGGGGCTGTCAGTGGTATAACGAATATTTTAATATATTGAAGTCGCAGCTGAGGATGTGAGTGGTCACAGGTGTGAATGTGGTGTGAATGTGGTGTGAATGTGTAGACCCACTCACCCACTGTGCAGATTGTTGACCCCTCTCCCCCGTTCTCCCCCGTTCTCCCTCATTTGTCCAGCCATCCTTGTTTACAGAGTGTTTCGCAACGAGGAGAAGAAAAACGTGAAGATGCTCCACGGATTGATCCACCTGTTGGCCCTCGTCGTCAGCATCGTGGGTACGAAACCACAGGAGAGAGAGAAAAAATCAAGTGTCTGACGTCCACAGGTGTTTTTATTTGATTTTATCTTCTGTATCCGTGTGTGTTCAGGCGTGACAGCCGTGTTTGAAAATCACGCAGCGTCAAACATCACCCACATGTACACTCTGCACAGCTGGTGTGGCATCATCACCTTAATACTGTTCTTCTCACAGGTATGTGCACACACACACACACACATACCTGTGTTAACTGCCTGTGGAATAAGAACACTCACTCATCTTCTCCTAGTGGATCATGGGATTGCTCTTCTTCCTGTTTCCTGTTGCATCGTCACGGTTACGAGCCGCGTACCTCCCCGTCCACGTGGTGTGCGGCGTGGTCCTGCTGGTCATGTCCATCGGGACCAGTCTGCTGGGAATCACAGAGAAGCTCCTGTTCAGTATCCTGTACGTTTTTCTAACGTTTGGTTTAGTTTAGTTTTTTTGTTTGTTTTTTTGCGAGTAAATAATTTTTTTT